AAATAGATTTAAATTACACGAAGACTTTCATGCCAATTTCAATAGTCCTCGCACACTGACGTCAAACACAAAGGCAGCCGCACGAGATTTTCATGCATATTTGGCCTCCTTAGCGTCAGACACAGAGACAGATGCGCACGAGATTTGCGTGCTTCTGACCTATCGACCTGCCTAATTTACATTCCGGCAGAATTATCAAGAAATAAATTTCCCCAACTTTCAAACAGTTATTACAGAGAAAAAAAATTAGAAATGGAAATATTATGATACAAACGATACTTAACATCAAAGAATGAATTCAAGTAATTCTGTTCTTCGTCTATGACAAACATTTAATCTCCTCTGCGAGGTAAGGGGTACTAAATATTTTATGACCTTAAATTTTGTTAACTTTGTACGAAACATCATTCCTTTTTTCATTTTTTAGCAACTTATCTTAAGGTTGGAACCTGAACACATAATTTTATTATGTGAACATGTTTTCGTCTTATCACAAATAAACGGGAATACAGCACCCATTCTCAGAATAAGTCGATATTTTCAAACAGAGTTTGTGAAAATAATATTTTTGGTTTATCTTTATGATTTTGGCTTTATTTTATACCTTTGTATTTCACCTGTTTGTTCACAAAATTTGAACATTCGGGTAAAATAAATGTAAAAGATATGAATCCATAAGTAACACCCATCAAAATTACAGGTAACTTACGTTGCCAAAATTACATTAACGATAAACCTGAGAATTTCTCATAAGAATTAATAACAATAAAGAAAATGTGTGTTTTGTGATGAGTTGAACTACTTTTCTTCGAAAAATGTCCTAAACTTAATCAATTTATAGTATTTACGATAACACAAACTAATTAATGTATAACACCAATTGTTCATTACAAAAACTTTTTTCGTTCATCTTTTAAGTTAAAACAGAACTTTGAGTATCATCATTATTAGAAACTGAATAAATGAAATGTTTGATTAAATCATATTCAATGTATTTCCAAAAACACAGATTTCTTCAAGCTAAAATGAAAAGAGAAACACCGAGTATCATTACTGTAACGTAGATTACAGGGTACACAAGGTAGATTACAAAAAACATCATTTACTACCGACGTTAACCATAACATACTAAAATTTTTGAATATATGAATGATCTTTGATAGACAAAAGACTATAACTAGCAAAATTTAACAATATTTCCCTATACTTTGTCTATATTGATGTTTTCGATATCTCTTTTATCTGAGATAAAACGTAAGCTACGTTATCGACACTCTATGTTACTATGTTAGATTTAAATCTTCATCCTTACAAATTTCTGAATAAAATGATGAAATTACTTCGTAGACAGAGTTTTTCATGTATATAAATCATTACTTGATAAGTCATAGACAAGCAAGCAAAGAACGTAGCTTACAATACTATGACTGTTTAATTACATGTTGTTCGTGCCGACAATTTTCAATGATTACAATTTACGAAGGGTGAACTTATCTACCATATGATCTAGAGCATATAAATTAAATCAAAATTTATTTAAAAGATATAATTTCTAACCTTTAAATTTGGATTAGGACATAGGCCTATATTTTATTGTTTCTTTTTTCGACGTTGAAATCCGCAGTTGAACAGCTTTAGCGGGCATGCCGTTCAGCCAGAAGTGGTAGATGGTCATATACAGTGCAATAACATAACCCAACATCATTTTAATATCATAAAAAGAATCTATACTGCTTGACTCTTAGATTTTATTAATAGGACGGCAACGTAGATTACGCAACGTATACGTAAATTACATCTTGCCTATTAGTAGGTAGAATCATACGTTTTGTACTTACTACTGTAATTGTTCGATCTAGATTAACCATACACATAATGTATTATAAAATAAACACACAGAAATCTAGATATATATTTACCATAATAGTTTTTTTCATGATCACGTAGCTTACACTCTTGCTCGTACGAGATATTTTGTCCCCTGTGTATTTTGATTCAAATTTTAAATGACAAATCAATAAAATTCAGTTAATTTTTGAATGTTTATATGCGAGGTAAAAGATATTTAAGACTGAAAAACACACATTTATAGTCGGCAACGTAGCTTATATACTTTTAAGCGACATTAAGTCAAGGTGAAAAATGAATTCGGAATATGGTCGTAAATATTTAAGTACTTAATTAAAAAAAAATGCTTGCATATGTGTCATGAAACTAAGATGTAGTGAAGAGCTCTAGGAACATACAGATGATTTTATAAATGCGGAAGCTTAAGATACCTTATTGGCGACACGCAAAAATTGAGAAAATAGATAAGTTTTCTGCTTTGTATTTTTTAAAAAATCGATTTCTGAAGGAGATTTTGTTCTCAGCCTGTGATTATAGTTACATATGAATGAAAAAGATCACATAAAATGTTTTGAATACGTCATATTTTTCAAGTAGGGCGAGGAGACATGCATTTAGTCAAAATGACCACTTTTTCTGAGAATGGGTGACAAGTAAGGTGGATAATATTTGTAATAAAAGTTAATGAGACATGCTATTTGATATTCTTCTAAAGGTATTAGATTAAAATGAATTCGAACCAAAAAAAAGTAAATATTTGATATACCGTAAGTAGTATTAGGGGTCTAGCCGGGTGGGTCAACTGAGTGCACTTTTTATGCAAATGAGGTTCAAAATGGTGGATTCTGATTGGCTGAGCCGCTGGGTGGGTCAACTGAGTGCATTTGTTTTTTTTTTTTGGGGGGGGGGGGGGGGTCTGGGGGGATAGGGAAGACAAGTCAGTACAGTCCCCCCTGGGGGATAGCTGGGTCAACTCTGTATAGTCCTTGGGGTGGGGTCTAAGTGTGTCAGTACATAGCCCCTAAAATATAGTGTTTACACTCTTCGCTGCGACTACGTTTTTTTTTATGTAAACAGGTAAATACTTGGCAGCGACTCAAAGAATGTGATTATGACGTCATAATCACAGTCTAGACAGCCTAGTCTAGCTAGCCGGTTCAAACTTGATTTTTTTACTGAAAAAAAACAATAACACACACACAAGACCGATTAGATCAAGGCAATTTTATTCAGAATGAAAAAATACAACCATTTACTTTTTTTTCTTCTTCTGTGCCTTTTCTGTGGTCAGGGGTAGTTTCCTCTTGGATTCCTGAGGCTTTTTCTCCATTTTTTGTATTTCTTTTACCAATTGTTGATCCTCCTCCTCATCCTCTGTACACTTCTTAGCCCAATGGCCAAATTTCCCACACTTGTAGCACGAATCCTGTTTTTTTCGGGGACAATCTGGGGCCCAATGCCCTTACTCTTTACAGATGTAGCATGGGTCCGTCTGTCTTGTTTTTTTAGTTTCTCCGGATCCCCCTTGTCCCTCTTTTTTTCTGGTAAGTGCTTCCTCCTTTCATTATGGTGATGTAAATTTTCAATTTATTCAGCTTCTTATCAATATCACTCACCTTGGTGTTCGTTTATTCAGCTTGTTATCAAGACCAGACAGCATGTTTACAATCCCATCCAGAGTTGTATTTAAGATGCCCATATCCTCTTTCTCCACATAATCAGGAAAATTATACATGCCCAAATCCAAATCGACTGCATTATGTGACTCTGGCATGGGGGGTCCTACATATCTATCAGGTGTCACATAATACTGGGGGTTTTCTGAGGTATTCATCATTGCTTCTATTTTCACCTCTGTCAAGTTTTGAAATATCGACAAAAAGACTGATCTTTAAATTTGCAGGGGTTTTTTTTTCTTTTGCTTTATATACCTGTAAGGGGCATGTGCAAAAAATATACGTTTTACTTGTGTTTTTATAAACCTGTTGCATCATCTGTAAGGACCGTGTGCATCAATATGATAGACCTACGTTTTCTTATATACCTGCTGGATTTTTAAGAACCGTGTGCATCAGTACGTTTTACCTGCGTTTTGTTAGTTTTTAAGAAAAAAATAAAAGAATTCAACAGTTAAAAGCTTTTGTTAGTTTTTAAGAAATAAAAATCATGTAAATATCACGTTAGTATGACGTCATCTTTTATATATACACTCGGGTTCGGGTTCCCCCTGAATTTTGTTTGTAACTGTGTTTTTTTTTTTGTTTTAGCCTATCACAAGTCAGGATTTTTGATCACATGATTGATTATTGATGTTGCCGCCACATTGACCTATCGTCTGCTTTTTGCAAAAGCGATTTTTTTTGTGTTAGCCTATCACAGGTCAGGATTTTAATCACATGATGGATTATCGATGTTTTGCCGCGATATTTGACTATCGTCTGGTGTATAAATACAGACCCTCCCAGAGCTCAGTATCATTCCTTCGTGGCTGATTCTACAGATTATACACAGAGTGAGAAGAAGAAGAAGAAGAAGAAGAAAGATGGAATTTCATGAAGAATTGTTCATCAGCGTCGTTGTAAGAAGACTGGATACAGGGGAAGATATATCTCGTTTCAACATGTTAAGAATACAAATGAATTCCGAGCCACAAAACAGAAGCAGGAGGGCCCACCCTTATACAAAGACAAGAAGAAGACCAAGAGCACCATTCAGATCCCCGTCCCCACCACCGCCCAGACCTGCTGTCCCCCAGAACCAAGCAAGGAATCAAGGACGGATTCCGCCCTGGGGCTTCCGGTTGCCCAGCCAGGCCATCATGTGCAGCTTATGTCTGGCGGAGGGGGAGCCCAGGAATTATTGTTGTAGCCGGTGCATTCAGCGTCCCTCCTGTTTGTTATGTACGGCCCGGGTCATAGAACAGGGAATGCCGTGTCCCATCTGCCGGAAACACCAGTGGCTGCTGGTACCGTTATTCCAGAGACTGGAATATGGCCCCCGTGAGGATAGTGACAGTTCGGATGATGAGAACATAGGGCAGTTAGTCCAGGAACTCTTGGTCGCGTAGGGACCCATCTGGACCCAGCTTGATCCCAAAAACAAGAAAAAAAAATTTTTTTAAAAATTCCAAAAAAAAAAAATCCAGTTTAACCCCTTCACTTCCGTATCGGTCAAATTGACCGGTGGCGCGTTAAAACACGACTTCGCGAAAATAAGATCTCCGTCTTTATTTTATGGTAGCATGAAGGTATATAAACTATATATCATCTTTTTGGAAATTTTCTCTACTTTTAAAATATCTAAAAAGATTTTGTCTTGATCGCCGGTATTTAATCGATTTTACGTTGTGAAGACAAACGTGACTTTTTGAAAATGGCGTAATTTTCCAAAGCAATTGCCGATTTTCCAGACGATTGACATTTTTTTCCTGATTAACTTTTTAAAGAAAGTATGATATATTCTTAAAGCATATTTTCTCTGCTTTTAAAATATGTAAAAATTATTGTTATTACTTTAAAGTATGTTTTAAAAACAAGAATTTTCTTGCACTTATGTGTTTTTTCTCGATTTTATTCGTAATGTTTAAACAAAGCTCAGTTTTACGTTTATTTCTGTATTGAAATAGGTTAAACAAAATAAAGCTGGTAAAAGTAGAGAAAATTTCCTTTCCAACAAGCCCTTACAGGCCTTCTTACGCTCAGTATTTTCTTAATTACGATAATTTGAATTTGTGACCTTCGCATAGTTTTTATGGAAAAATCGGTCAATATTTACATGTAACGTCAAGGTCGATATTGTTGTGTCTAACTCGAAACAACAAATTCTTTTATAAGACTTTTTTTTGACCATTTAGATATATTTTTTACTGAAATAAATACATAATACAAAAAAAAAAAAAGATTTCAAAAAACAAATATATACCATTGTTCTGCCTTTTGTGTGAAGTGAAATGTTAATTTATTCATCTACATGTAATTCATCTATATTTCATGTAGTGATATACAATGTTGATAAAAATTGTAGATTCCTTAAACGCCGATCTTTACTCAAAAAAAAAAAATCAGATTTTTAATATTATTGTATCTTGTTATACTGTATTCTAAATTTGCAATTTATTTAGATCTATATTGGCACGAAATTTAACAATACAAAAACTCGCATTTATAAATAAATACGACTCATCACTGTATGAGTTGATACGAATTGAAATAACCACGTGTTTCCGCTATGGCAGCAGTAAACAACATGATGGCGATCCGAAATCTGAACGTCAATTTTCATGATTATTTCACGACGAAGATCATCACATCAATGAATCAAATAATACGGACATGCCTTTAGTATTAGCAGGTGAGAATACGTGTATATTGACTGAATAGTTTAAGTTTAAAACGCACTTAGTTCACGTTCTAAAGAAAACTAAATGTACACATGTACTAGATCTTCATATTTCAGTGTGCGTATTTCGTATTGTTCAGCCAATTTTGTGTTGCTTTTGAAATTTGATGCTTTTGACAATCACTCGTAAGTTCAAAGTAAAATCAAAGTTGCCATAATAATGGATAGTTGTTTTCAGTATGTGTGTACCAGTCAGCCAGTGTGTACATGTACCACTTTCACATTGAATTTTTAGGGTGCTGGCACCATATGCAACAATACTTTCATCGGTGAATACCCACTTGCTAAGCCCACCATGAACTACGAAGGCCAATTAATATGTAAGGACACCAATGAACAGGTAAATTTTTGTTTTGATATTGAAAATTTCTGTATTTCTAAAATTTCAAAAAATAAAATCAAATTTCATTTGTGTCATTCTCATGATATTGTATTTATACAAGTTTATAAACATTTGCTTTATATTTTGAAAAATAAGTGTTTGAAACACATAATACTTATGATGCTTGATTATTCATACAAACACATTATTTAAACACATAATATCTATTTTAATGAATGCCGAGATATATGGAACAAGCTGTTTTTATAGACTGCTGTTGTATTTCCAATCTGCATAAAGTATGTGGTTAGAATTTCCATTTTCTCAATTTTTTCAGACACTTTCCAATTATCGTACATCATATACATGGGTGGTCAAACTCACTGGATGGTTTATCAACACTCCCATGCTCACAAACAGCCTTGCCCCAGGAATTTTGCCTGAAGTAACATTGCAGTCTATTGTCTCCTTTCTTTTTACAACCCTGGCAGCCATGCAGGTATGCAATCTATGAAAGCCATGAAGGGACATAGAATCTTTAAAATTTATAAAAGTAAATGGAGTTCTCAATTTATACAATCCATTCTCTCGGAATGACAATCTGTTATAATGAATTGCCAATTCATTCTCACAGATTATCAATTTGTTCCCTCAAATTACACAATCCGTTATCTCAGATTGTATAACTCATTCTCCTAGTTTAAATGATTCGTTCCCTTGGAATGTAAACCCTTCCCATGATTTCAATAAAATTATTATTTATCTGTACATTAAGAGTGCAACGATAAACCGTTTGTCGGTATACCGCGGTTTATTTTTCCACGGTTCGGTTCACGATACGTGAAACTGATACCACGGTTCGGTTCAAACGGTCCATAATTATCCGAATCGTACGTTTTGGTTCGTCATTTACAATTTCAAAATGGCTTCCGCACGAAACATGAGGTCAATGAAACTGCAGAAACGGCAAATAAACTTGTTTTCAGTCTCATATTTAACGGGCGGAAGGATGTTATCACTTTCCTAGTGTTAGCGTAATGAGCATTTGATAAAACTTTTGAGTTTTAAGCATATGATGACAAACATCTGACTTTTTAACCCAATATGTCATGTACCGTGATACGTATCGTATCGTGAACTGAATACCTTGATACGTATCGTATCGTGGGGTAGGCGTATCGTTGCACCCCTTCTGTACATATCGGATATGGTAATACATGTTTAAAGAATAGAATATTGTAGTATTTTACATCCTACCTTTTATTACCCGATACATATTATGGTCCAAAATGAGAAAAATACATGAACATTTTCAAATCCATATGCTAGTACTGATATTTGTAGAACAAAAAATCTTTAAGTTTTTGTGTTACTTGTATTTTAGAATAATTGAAAGTCCTAAATAGTAAAAGTTTATATGGGTCCTGTGTAATCATAATATTCCTAAATAAATAAATATACGTTGAATTAGTTATGAAAGAGGTTGGAAATGACCGGTTGCTGAAACAAAATAAAAAGAACGCACAAATTGATTAAAATGGTTGGATGTATCTGTACATAGAAATTAAAGAGCACAGAGAAAATCAGAAGACTGACGTTGTAACAAATCGAGATCTCGAATTATTAATCTGTGAAAACAAATTACCAGTATGTAATTCGAGATCTCAAGTTATGAATCAAGGGGGCGAATTAGTAATCTGTAAGATCGGATTGTGTAATTCGAGATCTCGAATTATGAATCAAGGGAACAATTTAGTAATCCTTTGGATTGGATTGTCTAATTCGATATCTCATTTTTTACTTTTTTGAAACATTGATGTGTCCCTACATGGCTTTTGTAGCAATCTAATTAAAATTAAATCTTCCATCCACTGCCAGATTTTTTTAATGTCGCGATAGCGTAAACAGAGGCTTTAGTCAGATTGCCATATATGCTATTTGTTTTAGTTCAGTAATTTTACCATGATGGTTTACTACAAGTTTGTTGAATTATCAGTCCTGATACATTGACTTAGCAATATCATTTAACTACTTGAATCACATAATACAATTTTAATTTTAAAAGGAAAATCAAATAAATGTAGTAATTTTAGCATTCTTAATTTTATTTATAAATGTAAAATGATTCATATACACAATGACATGTATCTGTTTCAAAATATTTAAATCTTTTACAGGATAGAAGCTGATCACTTGTACTTGACAGCAAATAATGTCTTGGACAAGTCAAAGACTTTCCTCCAGTCTTACAGAGAAATGACAGTTGATAAAAGAATGGTGGACACAAAGTAAAAGTGCTCTGCAACATTTTGTTGAAGATTTCAGTCTGATTTGGAATTCATCTTGCAATATTTCTGGATTTGTATATTTGGATATAAACTTCACATTTTCAACTTATTGACTAGACAGTTTTGCGTTAAATATTGCCAATGCTATCTATTATTATTATTTCCCTCCAAGACAACATGTCATGTCTTTATTGTACCCCTTAAGCTCTGTTATACCAGTAAAATCTTGTAATGAAATCATTTAGTTTATTTTTTCTTGTTAGATTAAATCCATGAAAATAAAGATTATTTTTAATGGTATCAAGAGAATGGATTTTTTTGTTTAACAAAAAGACTGTATACATGTTTTGCTAGGGGTTTGTAAGAAGCAGACCAGAATTCTTTGTTGGAAATTTTGTCGTTTGCCATTTTTATCACGTCAACTATTAGATGATTTATCCATGATTGAAGCATTTCAAAATTGATATTTACTTACAATTTAAAGCAGAATTCTGAACTGATATGAACTTGACCCCCTTAAGAACAAGAGTGTCAAGGTCAAGTTTTAATACAAAAATGTTCTTTCATTTTTATGGCCAATATCTTACATACAATATCATAAAATATACAAAAAGTGTCAAGAATGTGTCCAGAATGTGAAATAACAAGCATGTTTATAGCCAAAAACTTTAAAAAGTTGTTGCTTAGCAACCTTTTAAAGGTCATTAAACAGATATCTGAACTAAAATGATGCATGGATTTTGCAGTTCTGACCCCTTCTTGAGAGTATATTCAGAATTTTCCATTTCAGCATCCATTGTGTAAAATTATGGCAAGAATATTGAAAAGTGTTGAAAAAAATTGATGAAACTTTTGCACTTATTTGACCTTTGACCTCCTAAAGATAGTTCTAATGAGGTCAAACTTTAAGACAATTTATCTGCTGTTTGTCCGTTGTACTTTTATGACCTCTTATCTAACTTTTATTTGTGCTGGGATGCATAAATGTGTCTAGGATGAGTAATAAACGAAAATTCTTGCCCGAAAATTAAAAAATTCTGGGTTGCTAAGCAACCACTTTTAAGTAGTTATATGCAGAATTGAAAAAAAAAGTTTATGTGTTTCATGTAGTACAGTATAATGCTCTTTTGTGGGTATATCCCAAATTTCCTATTTCAACATGCATCATACTTAATATTTAGCTTAAAGATGAAAAAGTATCAAAAAATCCCATAAAATTTTGCACTTAATTGACCTTTGACCTCAATTTTTACTAATAAGGTCAGTTGTTGAGTATCTAAGCAGTCATAAAATATCATCTGTAAGAAATTTCCTACAAAATGGTATGCATTATGCCTAGCTTTCCCCTTGGATAAAGAAGTTAGAAATAATTTAATAATGCCATGTCAAAAGGCCTCCAAAATCACGTAAAATGCGCCGGAAGAGAAAGGGTTAAACCGGCTGGCTAGGCTGTCTAGACTGTGAATGAAAAGTGTGACGTCATAATCACAGTCTTGAGTCGCTGCCAAATCGTAGTAGCAGCGTTGGGAATCGTAGTAGAAGCGTATAGTAAAAAACTATATACAGTGTAAACACAGTATTGGACACAGGGTTATGTAATGAGTTGAACCCCTAGCCCCAGGGTTAGTGTTAGGGGTTAGGGCTGTACTGAGTTGACCCCCCTTTCCCCCCAAGGGGGGACTGTCCTGAGTTGACCCCCTATCCCCCAGACCCCTCAAACCTACACTCCCTGGACCCCACACAGATGCTTAGCCCATCAGAATCCACCATTTTTGACCTCATTTGCATAAAAAGTGCACTCCGTTGACCCGCCCTGTAGCAACCTCTAATGATAAAACGCCGCTTAATGATAGAAATAGCATTAAGCGTCGCAATTTCAACGCTTAATGCCATAAATTATTGCATTAATAGCTGACATCATCAACCGCTAATGCTAAATCGCCGCTTAATGACAGAATTATATCATTAAGCGTCACAAATGCAGTGCAACATCGACGCTTAATGAAACAAGCAAATATCGACATATTCGACGCTTAATGATACACACTGGTGTATCATTAAGCGTTGCAGTTGCAACCCTTAATGATATAAAATTTAGAAATCGCTTGATATATCTAAGAGAAACACACATTCACCTTTCTTGAACAATGAGATATCACTTGTCAAAATATTTATATATACCCTTGTGCTATATAAATGGTTATTATTGAAGTTTTACTGTTTTTTTTCTATCTAGTCAAGGGAACGTCTTTAAGCCCCGGATGTTTAAGAGACAGATAGTTAGATAGTTAGAAGAAAGAGATACAAACAAAGGGATAAATAAAATGATATTCAAGTCCTTTTAAAAGAAAAATTTTTTACTGAAAATACAGAAGCAAACAAGCAATTAAATTCCTTTTAATTTGATACAATGATTTTAATACTCATCCTAAAATATATAGAATATATTTAAATATTCCAAACTTTGTATTTTAGATTTGATACAGCTTACAGTGGCTGCAACGTTATTGTTGTCAACTTATACGAACGATCACGTTACACGAACGATCCCGCACGATTAACGCACGATTAAACCTGTCACACGAACGATTCTTCACGCACACGATTCTACACGTTACACGATCTTACACGATTGCTAACGCAAACGCACGATTCTTCACTCAAAATAGTTCAAAATATTTATGAATCGATATGTTCAAAACGAAATACGGCTTAATACTAATTTAAGGTTTGAAAGAATTCTCAATATTATTTCATAGACTTTGAAATAAACCCGGAAATGGATATTTCTGTAACTAGATACATGTAAGACTTAATATCTTAGATTATGAATAATTATTTAAGTAATTATCCAACCCAAGAAAATGGATTTCTTTCGTTCTATCAGAAGATGCACATGTATGTGGGCCGTATAATTTGATAGAATTGGATTTCATGATATGCAGAAAGGGGGATACGATTATAAAAAGAGGGGCATCATGGAATGACTTAAATTACAAATTATAGCCGTATGATTCCATTGATTCAATGTTTGTGAATCTCTAAAAATGAACATAAGGGTTATATAAGAAATATGAACCTTTGGTATCTTGTCCAAATGGCTGGTAAGGTATCCTTATTTTTGCGAGGAATCTTGTTTAAGTACCTATTATTCAATGACAAACTCTTAAGAAAAATTATATATTTTTGCGGAACGTGTCGTTTGACCTTAACATTAAACCAGAAATCTCTGTCAAGACTGTAGCTCAACTGGATTGTACTTATAACAAAGGATGAGAAAAGAAGCAATTACCATCAGACCAAAACTGTAGAAGGAGTAGCGTTTTAAAGGAATTTCACAGAAATTTCTATTTTTTCTAATAATGGCAACCTTGTTCATTAAAATCGAGAACTGATGCACTTAGTCTATTTTATGTATCTAAGTGTAGTCTACTTGTGTGCCAAGTTATATCGAAATCAGACAAAAATTGTAGGACAAGTAGTGTTTCAAAGAAATTTCACAGAAAATTTTAATTTTAGTACACATGGCAACACTGTTCATCGAAATCAAAAACCGATTAAATATCCTATGTATCTTAGTGTAGGATATTCCTGTGCCAAGTTATATTGAAATCAGACCAAAATTGTAGTAGGAGTAGCGTTAAAAAAATTGTTTACAGACAGACGGACAGCTAGACGGACGGGCGCATTACTATCGCAAAAGCTCTTCTATAGTCTCTGACCAGTAGAGCTAAAAATTACTGTTTCCAATAATGCTATCCCTACTTGTACTTCAAAAGATTATTTTTTTTATTTTTGCACAAAAAGATACTACCATATACATGTATGACCTTTAAGATCATATTACCAAATTGACATGGGTAATTTAAATAAAATGGATACATGTATATGCTAATCCGAATATCCTCTATTTTCCCTAATTTTTTTAGGATTTATTAGTTATTTCTATATGCCTCCTATACATGTATTTAAATTTTTCCAATTTTCACATTTAGTAAAGTTGGCACATAAAGGTACAAAATGATACAAAAACTAACAGTTTTTATCGTTTACTAAGACTTTTTACGGATTTTTGGCTCAAATCTGTACCTGGATTTGAAGCATTTAAAAGCAAACATAGTCCTAGTATGTGTGAAAAATCTTATTTATTTGATGTATTTTGAAACTTTAGTCCCTTATTATTAATTTAACTTACATTTAAATATTTCGTCTAGTCTTTGATTGCGTAAAAATTATAACTAAGTTCAATGTTCTAAAATAATTTTGAGTGGCAGAAAAGAAGATATTGAAATTTCTTACGCCACCATTAAGCCAAAAATATAGTCCCTGCTAATTTTCAAACGCAGTTTACCATTTCTATTTCAAGTTGTATAATTGTGATGAAGAAAGAAAAATATGGTCTTTTAAACCTCTTACATCTAAATATATGACATATCAACAAATATGCTTTAAATATTCCATCTAATAAGACACTAGAAAAAAAATCCTTTTTAAGTTAAATATTTCTTTATTGTCTTTGGGAAGTTTAGGGATTTTCTATTCTCCATTTAAGGCCTTCCTCTATACTTGGAAAATATTGCCACAGACTTGCTTTATATGCAAATTACGTTTCTTTTTAGCATCTAAATTACATGTGGTACCCCAGGGTCTTAAAGTAACTTTTTCCAATCAAAGTATTGTTTTTTTTTATAACGATAAAAAAAATTAAAATTAAATAAATTTCATTGCAATAAAAAATCTAGCTCGTGCTTTTTTTATGCCAACTAGACAGCACACTGAAAGACTTCTGTGTTTCTTTCTTTCCTGTATTTGTGCTACTTTTTAGCTCTCCTGAGCCGAAGGCTCAAGTAAGCTTTTCTGATCAAAATTTGTCCGTTGTCTGTCGTCGTCGTTGTCGTTGTCGTCGTTGTCGTAAACTTTTCACATATTTATCTTCTTCTCAAGAACCACTGGGCCAATTTCAACTAAACTTGGCACAAAGTATCCTTGGGTCAAGAGGATTCAAGTTTCTTCAAATGAAGGGCCACGCCCTCATCCAAGGGGAGATAATTATGAATAAGTGAAAAATTAATAGCATTTTTAAAAAATCTTCTTCTCAAGAACCAATGGGCCAGGAAAGATGAAACTCATGTGGAATCATCCTCAGGTAGTGTAAATTCAAGTTTTTATAAATCATGACCCCCAGGGCTAGGGTGGGGCCAAAATGGCTAACCAAAGTTTTACATAGGAATATATAGAAAAATCTTTAAAAATCTTCTTCTCAAGAACCACTGGGCCAGGAAAGATGAAACTCATGTGGAATCATCCTCAGGTAGTGTAGATTCAAGTTTATTCAAATCATGACCCCCAGGGCTAGGGTGGGGCCAAAATGGCTAACCAAAGTTTTACATAGGAATATATAAGAAAAATCTTTAAAAATCTTCTTCTCAAGAACCACTGGGCCAGGAAAGATGAAACTTATGTGGAATCATCCTCAGGTAGTGTAGATTCAAGT